GCTCTTGACATTGTCTTAACATGGCCTGTAAGTACACTCACGATCTTAGCCCTGTATCTCCAACCACTTCGGTTTTGATTTCATCTTTTCAGTCTACCAAGTTCTCTTCCATCGGCCTTTGCAAGTGCTATTCATCTTGCCACCATTACAGGACTAGACAAGTCATAAAACTGAGTTCTTACACTGTTTTGCCTTCACTTGCTATGTGACTGGGTGCAAGTTACTCTTTTAGTTTCTCAGTTTGCTCAGCCTATGGTGTAATTGTATCAGATTGCTGCCAGGCTCTTTAGTTCTAAATTGTGAATTTTCCGAAAGCTATTTTGATAGGAAGACAATGGAACTCAACACATTTACCTTGTTGCTATTAGCCGTTAAAAATACAGTCCATATTAATGTCTCACTCATAACACTTATTTACACTTTAATTATTTTTATAAATCTTAGTTGTTTGAATATATAATATGAGTAAAGCAAGTTTCATGTTTGAAATCTGATTATTAAATTATTGAATTATTTCTACTTCTGGAGTCCTATGTCTTGGATTATATTTCTACCACTGCTTTTCAGATGAAATGATAATATTGTACCCTTTTAAGAGGTTAGTGGAGGCCCAACCCATGGTATGGTGATTAGGGCAGCTGGATCCTACATAGTCAATTGTATAGTTTGAGTCCCAAACTTGGCACCTTGAGAAACTCTATGGGCATATGTCTGTGCATGCCCAAAATCCTGAGAGGAGAATAGAAGAGAAGGGATTGTAGCGCCGGCTTCTTCCTGGGGGTGGTGCTTTCTTATTCCCCTCTCCCCCTCTCTGTCTCTGTTGAGCACATAAGCCCTATGGCAAATTTCAAAATCATCATCAGCATAATAAGTAAATAGAAGAAAACATAAGCTATTGGAGTAATCTTTTTAAGAGGGAAGAGGAAAGACCTGATAGAAAAATAAATTTGCCTAGAATTCATTTCCTATTTATTTTTATTTTATTATCTAATCTGATGCCTTGTTTAATTGATATTTTTTGTACTTTTATAAAACTGTTGGAAATCAGGTAAAAGTGATAGAGATAAAACAGAAATTTGATAATTAGAGATTTTAGGAGTATAATTTCTAGAAATGCTACAAATTAAGGAATATTATTGGTTATTAAATGTTCTAGTTGTTTTAAATATGTCCTGTGTTCATAAGTTTGTGTACTAGTCCTTTTTATCTTGGAATTTATTTTTTTTTCCTTTGGAGAGGTTTTTGCTATAGGGTGCGTGTGCTCGCCAGATAGACAGAGACAGACAGAGAGACAGAAAGCGAGAAATCACCCCCCACGGGGGATGGCCACACCGCAATTCCCTTCTCCTCCATTCTCCTCTTGGGATCTTGGACACACACGCACACATGCCCGGCGTGAGTTTTAAGCCACCTGGTCCAGGACTTGAGCCACGGTTGACTACATGGGAGTCCAACGACATAGCCATTACGCTAACTGCTGGTCCCCCAAAAGAACTTTATAAAAAGAGTTTACTCTAAGATTACTTCACAGTGTCATCCTTGCCTAAGCAATACTTATAAAATTGTTTCTATGCAAAAGTTTATTCACACCTAAAACCAGACCACATCTTCCCTTTTGGTGACATCTGGAGTTGGATTGACATGCAGGCCCTAAAATAGTCTGGGTGTTGGGAGGTAGTAAGGAGTCTCTGGTGGTAGTAACTTAATGGATTGACAACAGGCAAAATACTTTGTTCATCAGGGGCTCCAAATTAAAGGGCCAAAAAGCAGTTGCTTCAGACTCTTAAGTGTCATTCATAAACCTAATATTTCTCAGTTGGAAATATAGTTTGTCCATTTCTGTTTTATTATTTCTCAACTAAGTAGCTAATTTCTTTAAATACAGATAACTGTAACTAGGACTTATATTTCATATATATGTTTAGTATTTGAACATAGAATATTAAGATTTGATAACTCCTGATACAGTAGTGCTTTTAGTTTCTTTAATTTTCTATGGATATGTACAATCCATATATATTTATACTTTTTTGGGTAAACTCGTGGTTGATATTTTCTCAGAAAAGATCATTTCTAAGTTCAGAACCAATCATTAGGATGCTGGAAAGCTCTTTTCCTCACCTGAAACATTTTCTCATGTTATTCTGTTCTTTTGAAGGGCGTTAATGTAGAAAAGAGAATTGGTTTAATCATTTCCTGTTTAATGAAGATGTTAAAAATAGTGGACTTAGGGGTTTTTTTGGAGGGCAAGTTGATGCTAACATTTTAAGGTAATAAAATGTAAAATTCTTAGAGCTCTAATTTTTAAAAAATAATTATTTATTTATTTAATTCCTTTCTTTTTTAATTTGACGAGAGAGAGAGAGAGAGAGAGAGAGAGAGAAAGCTGCCAAGTCCGAGACTTCAACTGCAGTTGGCTATGTGGGAATCCAGCACATTTAACTACCACACCACCTGCTGGCCCCAGAGCTCTAATTTTAATATAGGTTTTCTGAGTAAAATGGAAAGAAGAAACCCTTAGAACATATAATTTACCTTAAAGAACATTGACTAAAGAAAATAACTTTTGTTTGGTATTCTTTCTGTTCACGTAGGAGAAGAATTTCTCAGTATTTGAAATTCTAGATGAGAAGACTATATTTCTTATCTGTTATTGGTTTATAAAGAACTTACCTTAACAAAACTATTGATTCATGTATCTTTCTGTTGACAACAGGACAATCGGATTTCTCTAGTGAACATAGAAGTCACAACTATCTGATGATATTTTGCTTGTACTTTAAAGTAATAGTCATGCTTTGTGATCTTGCCTTAAGCTTTACACTGACATATTTAAACAAGGAAAGTTAAGAAAAATCTCAATTACAGAATTCTCTGCTCCTTTTCTTCAAATCAGTAGATTGTTAGTTGCTTTTTAGCTCTAAAATGCATGTTTAAGAATGATAAACTTATTTTCTTTTAAGTACGATTTAAATAAACTACTCATCAGTGGAAGAAAATACACTGACAGTATGTATATACTTTTGTTGGGCTATAAAAGACTATGCCTGATTTCTTTACTAGTTAGAGTCTTTTGTTAAGAATTTACTTTGTTTTTAGTTTTATCTGTAAGAAACTGTGGGTCCCTGAAGAATGACAGTATGTATATACTTTTGTTGGGCTATAAAAGACTATGCCTGATTTCTTTACTAGTTAGAGTCTTTTGTTAAGAATTTACTTTTAGTTTTATCTGTAAGAAACTGTGGGTGCCTGAAGAACCCTCCCTACGCTGTTATTTTATTGAAAACTGGCTTATTAAAAATAGGTCTAGGGGGCAGCAGGTAGTATGGTCATTAAGGCACTGGATCCCATATGGCCGACTGCAGTTTGAGTCCCAGACCCAGAGGCTTGAAAATCACACCAAGCACTTGTGCATGCTTGCCCAGAATCCCGAGAGAAGGAATTGTGGCATGGCGTTCTGCCCTGTGGGTGATTCCTCAAAAAATTTCCCTCTCTCTCTCGCTCTCCAGCAAGTACATGGTTTTGCCCTATGGTAGAAACCTAAAAAAAAGAGGAATAAAAAGAAAAAAAGTAGGTCTAGCAAAAGATTGTGATTTGTCTGAAATCATTCTAACCCAAACCAAGAAACTAGCAAAAATCTAATTTAAATTTTTTACAGAATTGTTTTATTTAACTTTTAATTAATTAATTAATTTAAATTTGACCAAAGAGGGACAGAGTGAGAGCTAGAGATAGAGATCGAGAGATCGAGAGAGAGAGAGAGAGAGGGAGAGAGAGCAAGCCACCAGGTCTGGGACTTAAAACCGTGGTTGGCCATGTAGGAGTCCAGTGCCCTTAACTACCACATCACCTGCCGGCCACAAATCTAATTTAAATCTTAAAGAGGATCTGTCCAGATTGTATTCAGTACATGAAAGATAAGATGGCAAAAATTAGATAGAGCTAATACTGAATTTAATTACATGTCCTTTATTGAGTTTGTTGAACTGTTTGAATTTAAAGGAAAAGAAAGGATATGCTGACAAATGAAAAATTTCCTGTGTAGTTTGTTCTTCTCTCAATTTTACCTCAAAGCTGTATGATTTTTTTATTAGTGAAATGAAAATGCAAAATGGCCTTGTTTTATTCCTTTTTAACATAAGGAACTATGTGCTTAATCATTGTTTTGACATACAGTAACATTTTGCCTACTTGAAAGGTTTTCAACTATTCAGTATTTAACTTAAATTGGTCAGAAGAGGGAAAGGAAGTAGAAATAAATATACACATACACACTTTTCTAAGCAGGTACTGTATGTATTTCACTCTGTTTCTTGACCTAACATAATTAAAATCCAAGTTCTTTGTTGTGGCATAAATGTACCTTTAAAATGAACCTCTGGTAGTGTTCACATAATACCATTTTACGGAGTTTTTTTCTTTTTAATTTTTGTGGCATGTATCATTTTGAAATTAGGTACTGTTATATCCAGAAATTGAATCAAAATAGTAATTTTAAAGCATACTACAGATTTAGATGCCATCTACTTTTTAAGAACTGCCTACATAGACAAAAAGTCCTGAATGTTATCTAAGTGTTACTGCTCATGATCTTCAGATTCTGTTAGTGTATCATCATTTTCAGAACACTCTATTTTTAGCAATTTTGGAGGGAAGGTATTTCAAAAACCTTTGATTAATGTACTTTTCCTTCCTCATTTATCATTACAGTTTAAGAAACATGATTACGAGTCTTAATATAAATGAATAAACATGAGATATATGTTGGATTAAAATATTAAATATGTAAAACAAGGTATGAGTAAGTCATTTTGTACACAAACTACTGTATGAAAAATTTCGCAAATTGATTTAGTATTAAAGATGAACTTAAAAATAGTACAGATGGTCACCACATGATTCAAATCATAGTCACTTTTAGACATTGAATAACCTCTTTAAAGAGTTTTTTAATCAAGGAACACATCAAAATGGCTCAGAAAAATAAAATGGAGTGTATATGAGAATAGAATATATTTTAATGCTTAACACATTGAATACAAATGGTCTTTATACCAAACACTTCAGATGGCCACATGTTAATTTTCTTTCAGAGATGGAGAAATAGTCTGTCCAAGAAAACACTATTCACAGTTGAGGAAACTTGGAGGTCTGTCCCAGTGAAGTCCCAGTTGTTTTATTGCAGGCAGCTTATATGGTAGATTCACTGTCAAATATTTTATTTTTTAAAGTTTGTAGGTTATGTTGAATAAAATTCTCTGTGCCTTGAACTTCAGAGAATCTGGAGTCACTTCTTCGAACAGACCAGCTTTTCATTTTTATTGAATTCTGAATCGTGTCTGATGTAAAGTAGTAAATTATAGGGTCAAAACAACAGTTTGAAACGGCAATGCAGAGAGTGATTGGGTACATCGTCCTTACTGCTGTCACTACTGAGCAATTAACAAACTTTTGTGTTCGCATAAGAGAATATAAAATAAGATTGATATTGTAAGGCACAAAACAGAAACAGAATATGACCAAATGTACAAAAATCATTTTTAAAACCTTAGTTTTGTTTATTTTGCTTCTACTTAATGTAACAGGTTTATTTAAAGTTCTCAGCACCATACTAGAACAAGTTACGTTTAAAATTAAAGGGATAAAAAATCCCACAGTTTCAATGAAGATTACAATCCTTGAGAGATAAGTTTTCCATGTGGCTTCTGGGAAATTTTCAAAGCAGGCTTCTGAGGTATTGTTACCCCGAGAGTGGGTAGACCGAATAAAAACTGCTGGTGCACTTCCTCCGATCACAGTTAGCCACACAGCCATGCAAACAATCTTTGCATTTCGTTTGGTCCTTAGAGTCTTTGACTTAAATGGGTAGACGATCGCCAGGAATCGATCGACACTAATACAGGTTAGGAACAGAATGCTTCCATACATGTTGGTATAAAACAGCATCACAGAAATCTTACAGAGTAAATCTCCGAATGGCCAATTCCGTGTTGCAAAATAAAATATCCTGAAGGGTAAAGTAAACACGAAAAGCAAGTCTGACATTGCCAAGTTAATCATGTACGTAGTAGTTTCATTTCGCACTTTGAGGGTGCAGATGAAAATGTATATGGCTACACAGTTGGATATTAATCCGAGCACAAACACCATGCTGAACATGCACCCATACAAAGTGTACTTAAAGGAGTCATCATAGGAGCAGTAGGAGTTGTTAGTGCTTACCATTATAAAGGCACGTCCAGTTTCCCGCGTGGAAGTCCTTTTGTCGCGTCTCCTTTGGTATTCAGATTGTAGCCACTGTAGCCTCTGACTTGGTAGCTGAGAATGTGGATGTTTGGGGAGTTTTATAAATGCTTCTCTTTTTTCCGGAAATCTCCAAAAGAAACATGAAATCTGTTGCTGTGCAGTTTCCACGTGGTACTTTAACAGGAAAATACTCTCATTTTTCAAGTCTCCAGAAAATCCATGAATCCAAGACTTAGTTAACCGACGAACGACCTTTAAAAAATGCAGTCAATGAGGCCAACCCATAGGAGTATAAATACAAAGAGAAGTGGTGTTCTGAAACGGAAATAAAACTCCTTGTCTTCTAAAACTTGTATTTTCAGGAGTCAGGATAAATATTCCAAAATTAAAGTTTCTTTATGCTCTGGAATGTTTAAGCTTAGGTTACCAATCTCACTTTGTTTTTCATCGCTGAGTTTCAAAGACTTAAACATTCCCAATTTGTCCTATTTTACTTCTTGATTCTTTTAAGTGAGGTCTTCCTTTTTGGTAATTCTGCAGTGGATCCCAGATGGCACAAGAGTCTTTTAAAGGTTCCGAAGTAAATTCCTTGGCGTGTTAGCTCTTGCTGAATTGAGGCTTTTTTCCTCAGTTGCTAGCTGTATTGTGAGATGAGCTTTCTCTGAAGTGAAAAAGAAAGGCTTGCTAGATTTGTAATATGACATCACAGGAAGAAGAGGCTGGGTTTGGACAAAGAAAGGTTTCAGCCCAGTTTGTTTGCAGTTCCTTTAATCTGATAATGTGTCTGCTGGGAATATACCTAGGAGGCTTGCAAATGGTCACTGGCTGTTTAGCTGAGCTTCTGTCCTTTAACTCATTTGATGGAGAAATGCTTCTGGGGGTGCTGGCAACCTCTCAGGGTTGTTTTGTTTTGTTAGTAATCATTGAGATCACTCCCTCCCCCCACCCAAAATTCAGTATTAATGCTGTTTTTCTCTTATTTGATTGCTTTTGTGTTTGGGATGTTACATTTCTTTCTTTCTTTCTTTTTCTTTAAGAAATACAATGTACATGGATGCATGTTTGTAAATTAAAATTGTTAGAGATATCTAGTGCCTCATTTTAAAGAACTGTGTAATGACTGTGAAAGAGAGACCTTTGACCTTTAGATATAAAAAGGATTTGACTAAGTGACCAATGGTAGTTCTGCTACTCCTGGCTTCTGTTTTCCCTGATGACTTCTCAAGATTTAATTTACTTTAATTGGTATGATTCTAAGTAGCTCTAGTCCCAGATCTCTTTAGTTTTTGATAAAACCATTTTCTAACATTCTTTTCTCTTTCATATGAAATCGAATTAATATTTTAAAGCTGTTTCAATTTTTAAATTGTCTCTTTCACCACAGAATGTATTTAAGAATATTTATTCTTGGTTTGACTTTTAATCTTACTTTCCCATGCATTTAAGCATAAAATGAAGTTTCATCCTTTTAAACAAAATGTTTGTCTTCCCTAAATTGATCGAAATAGGTTTGATTGAAAATAAAAGTTCAACTACTTGTCTAAATTTTAGGTTCATAATTTTATTTTTATCCCCCTCAGCTTTCCCTATAACCTCCTGAATATGACATTAACTATATGTTGAAATATACATATCAGGTTTTATGTTAATTTTAAAGTTTTTCTGAGTGATTTCTTCATGTATTTATATTTAAATATAAAGATATACAATGTATATGGAAGCATATTTATAAATTGAAATTGTTATAGATATCTAGTACCTCGTTTTTAAGAATGGTGGTTCTTTTAACGTTCTTTTAAGTGATTTCTTTGTATGTTTATATTCATACTTTAAAGCACCAAAATCAGAAGTTTGTGTGAAGTGATGATAACTGAATGTGGGTGTTATTTTCTCAAGGAATGAGGACAGATATCACAACCTCTGAGACATGTTTTTCTTATTTAAAATTTTCAGAAAAGTCTAGATTCTGTTGTATTTTACTGTGAATGGTTTTTAATTTGGCTGTCTTAGCAAAAATTCTTCCTTTTATGTGTCAATTAAGAAATCTAAGAGCAATTTATTTTTCCTTTCAAAATTACTTAGCTAATTTTAAAACAATATGTTGCAGTAACATGTTTTATACTACACTTTTTAAATTTATACTACTCTCTCAAACAGCATTTTTTGTTGTTGAATCGTAATCTATTTTTATCATTTTTCACTAAGAAATTCATCTATACGCAACATATAAATATAAATATTACTTACAATCAGTAACTGTAACATTTCAAAGGGTGAATTTCTTTGTATCACATTTGGTATGGAAAAGAAGTATGTGTGTATTCATCCTAGAAGTCTGGTAGAAACTTTTGAGTGAGCAGCAATGAAAAAAGGAGTAAATAAGTTATATTCTCTTTGGAGAAAAATTTTTAATGAATAGCTTTTTTTGAAAAATACTAGATTTTAATTTATTCTCAGGTTGATAGTCTCCTCTTTAGTCATCTTTAAATAAAGAAATATATGCAATTATTTGCCTAGACCGTCTCTACTTTTACTTTCACTTTGAATATAACTTTCTCCTCAAATAATTAAAATACATTAATTCTATGTTGGAATCTTCTTCTGCCTATTGTTATTTACTTGACTTGTTATTCACTTAGTAGTTCATTTGTAGTTTGTTCATGTTTGAGTTACTGGTGCTTAAAAGTGAATTGATCACTGTTTTTTGAATTAAGCTTTTCATTGTCATCAGTATATTAGTTACGAGTTTGCTTTATATTTGTAATTATTTTTACATTTATTATAATGACTTTTTAAAAATTTGACCAGAGAAAGAATGAGAGAGAGAGAGGGAAAGTTAAAAAAGCAAGATGCCAAGTCTGGGTTTTGAAAGTGGTCAACCATGTGATAATCTAGCACCCCAAACACCACTTCACCTGCCAGTCCCATGTTTGTAAATCTTAGCACACTTCTTTATCTTTAGTAGATACTTATATTCTGATTAATGAATCGTATGAATGAAGTTGAATTTTGTGGGACATTGGCTCTACTGAGGAAGAGCACTTACAGAGGGATTTTTTTTCTTTTAATTGCCATAAATCACGTGCTTACCAGAGAGAGAGAGGTAACCCCATACACTATACTCCTTTTTCCTCCATTTTGCTTTTTGATCATGATTTTGGGCATGCATGGACATGCATATATGCCTAGTGTGTTTTTCAAACCATTGTGACCAGCATTGTGACCTTGGTGGGCCATGTTCCAACTCCTGGTGCAGTGTGCTCAGCTACTGGCCTGTGGGACTGGCCAGAATGGCTGTCTTTCTCAACAGAGAGAAGATCATTGAATGCTGGATTGTTTCAAGATATTTATTTGACTTCTAAGAAACCATAGTGAAATTAAATAACTTAGAAAATGCTTAGGTTAAAACGTGAAAAATACAGAGTAACTACTTAAGAGGACTTAAATGAATCCCAGGAATCAATATATTTAATGAGTCCCGGACCTGGTGGTTTAAAACTCATGTTGGGCATGTGTATGTGTGTGTGCCCAAAATCTTAATAAGAGACTGGAGGAGAAGTGATTGCAGCGTGGCCATCCTCCCAGGGGATGATTTCTCTCTTTCTGTCTCTCCATCTCTCTGTCTCTCTGGTTAGCGCACCCTATAGCAAAAATCTCTTTAAAAAATAAGATAACCACAGTGATGAATTTTAAAAACTAAGAAGAAAACCAGAACTGGGCAGAAGTTAAAGTAGTGAGGGACCAGCAGTAGACATAATGGCTCTATCGCTGAACTCCCATGTAATCAACTGCGTTTCGAGTCCTGGACCTGGTGGCTTAAACTCACAGCAGGTGCGTGTGCATGTGTGCCCATGGTCATTAGAGGAGAATGGAGGAGAAGGGATTGCAGCGTGGCCATCCCCCCTGAGGGCTGCTTTCTCACTTTCTGTCTCTCCCTTTCTGGCAAGCCCATGCGCCCTATAGCAAAAACCTCTCAAAAAAAAAAAAAAGAAAAAAAAAAAAGAAAAGTTAAAGTAGTGAAGTGAATTTTATTCAGGACTGTAACTATAGTGTACACGTAAAATTGATTTGAAATATAATGAACATATTTAACCAACTTGAGATTCAGTGAATCTCATTACGTAACTCATTACTTTTCAAAATCTAATTTTATCAATAAGCCAGGTAAATAACTTGCTACCCTATAAAGTAGATCTGTTTTCTTTATCACTACACTAGTGGCATAAATCATTTAGTTTTTTAAGTTTGCGAGTATTTTGTTAACAAACGTTTAAGAATTTAGGTAACTTCTGAGTTCTTGAATAAATTTGACTGTCACTACAGCTTTGAGAAGGCAGGAAATATAAATGCCTGATTCAAAATAGACTCATCATAATGTTTGTTGAATAAACGAACCTTTATTGAACACAGTTATGAATAAATACTATGTAAGGTGGGTTCTTCAAATATTCTTCTTTTCTCTTCATTTTCATCCTGGTTATTTCTGTCCTTGGTAGTAATAAAATAACAGTTTTATCTTGCTTCTTCTTTACTCTCAGTGCCTCTTTTTGGATGAGCCTAGTCACTCTTATCTATAATGTCTTATCTTATCTCTGTATTTCTAGTCTTCTCTTACAGTTCCCTCTTGCCAGACTTCACAGATCTGCTGTGAATTAATCAACCAATTATTTATTCACTTATCTTCTTATTTCCGAAAAGAATTTAAAGCAAATTATTATTTTTAAAATGAATATGCTCACAAAACTGATGTTATTTTATGTAAATTACACCTTAGTTTAAAAAAAAATCCTTAAAGCAGTAGTCAGTGTGGAAAGAGCTAACAATTTAAAATATGAGATGTGAGAGAGATTATTCTAAACTTCAATTATATTCGTTATTCTATAAATTACTCACTTGGAGTGAAAAAAATGTTTCCCAAGAAGCAAAAATAAATAAATGAATAAAAACAAATCCATTAATATACTAGTTAAAGAGTAAAGGCCAAATCAAGTAGGGAAAAGAAGGGTCGGAAGGCCAGTTTATAAATCAGTGATATTAGGAAAATCTAGTTAGGAAAATCTAGCCTAGGGGAAACTGGTTCATTGGACACAAAACAAAAGAGAAAACTATAACGGAGTATGTAGTCCTCATTTAATGAAATGGAATCATCTAGAATGTCCAGGCAAGCACTTGGCTGTATCTCGGAAATAGTGTGAATCTTTACATATGAACTACTGCAGAATGTTTTCCTAATGGTACAATATATACCATATGCCATTTCTTGTTGGTCCTCGTTTCTAAGAAGAGCATCCAATTTCAGATGGTAGTTCTGGGTAAACATACTATTTATTTATAGATGAGTGAAATATTATTTGCTGGTAATTTGGTTTAATGCTACGGTAAGTTTGACAGTCTAGTGCAAACAATCTCTACCTGAAATCACTGAAACCTCTGTTATATATTATTCTTCCCCTCTCCAACACACACACACACACACACACACACACACACACACTGGTATCACAGATTTTATGCACTTTTCAAATAACATCATGACTAAAAACAGATAAGAAACACAGACCTGAGAAAACGAAGGCTTCTGCAGACTATTCCTCTGAAGTATCTGGAAATATCTCTGAAATATTTTGAAAGTTTTTTTTCTGTGAATTGACTAGAAGGAATCTAAATTGTTCATTGCTAGTTAAATTCCTTAT